GGGTTGTGAAGCAATTATGTACCATAATCTCTCCCCTCTAGCTATTATACTGTTTGTCTGAGTGAACGTTGCAATTAAAAGGTTGCAAAATAATTTAACTGAAATCAAGGGATCATCAAATGCACTTAAACAAAATACACCCATATCAGCAGTTTTAAGGTTGAAGTTGCAGCCCATCTCTGTTTGGAGGTTTGGGAGTATAGGTGGGAGGCAAAGAGGTCTTTGCAATCTCCCATTCTGGTCCAAAGGCCAGCTACACTCTAGCCCTTGATACAGATCCAGTAATGGAAGCTGTAAGAGCTCAGCACCTTCTGAACTGTGGCTCTGAGGTATGTGTTCCTCAGTGCATGTCACTCAACAGACATAAGAACTTAAACAGCTTTAAGTTCTTTCATAAGCATAAACTTGTCAGTGTGTTAAGCATTTAAAGCTGTCCTAAATACTGATACACTCACGCTAACTTTGTCCCATTGGGGAAACATGGTATGTCTCATCCATGTTTACTAAACTTACGATTTTTTTTTCTTTCAGGTGTTTACTCTTTGCTTCCCCTTAAAAAAACAACACCCTGTTTCCCCCTTCATCTGTATCTCCTATGTTAATGTACATATGTCGGTGCTGCAAGGTTAAGGTTACCAAAAGGCAGTAAGTGCAAGAATTAAAATTCCAGTACAGCAGTAGTAACAAATTATATTGCAAAAGCAAGAACACAAAAAATTCAGAAAAGATTATGTTAATATCTGTGTGTTTATTTCATAAAGGTGTATATCTTACATTGTCCAGGATGGGAACAGCAGGTGAGTTATTTATTTGTAATTTTTCACACTCATTCTAGGCTCTGGATGCTTAACACTAAATGAAACCCTATTTCATACAGAAAATTGTAATCCTAGAACATCCTTAACGGACATCCCTTAAGAAAGTAACATCAATCAACAACACTTGGAATAATTCATTCAAACATCCACCATTCATCTATCCTGTCAGCCTACCTCTTCCTCTATTGCCAATGAAAATAATACAGGCATGGCAGTGCCTGAACTGTTCACAAAACAGGGCTCCATGGCTACAGGAATGGATTAGGGGCAGAATTTCAAAACATATACATATATACATATACAGATAGATATATAGATAGATAGATAATACACACACACACACACACACACACACACATATATGCCTGGGAGGACTGGGCCCAAGGGTAGTGAGAAGCTGGCCGGCTGCGGTGGGGGGAGCAGTGGGCCCAGGCAGTCCTGGCAGCAGTGAGAGAACAGGAGGAGTGGACTCAGACCTGACAGCAGGGGGAGGAGGGAGGAGTGGGCCCAGGCCCAAGCGGGGGGAGAAGCCGGCTCACCGCAGCAGTGTGGAGAGGGGAAGAGTGAGCCTCTTCCCCACCATCGGGCCCAGGCCCACTCTTCCCCCACCACCCTCCTGCCCCTGTTGGCT